TATGAAAAATTTCTCGTTCTGTTGGAATAGTGGAGAAGGATAGGGTTGATTGTAGACAAGATACGGCTGGGCTCTTATTCGAAGAGCAAGAATTGGTTTCCAAATCACCGAAAAGTTCTCGTTTTCTCTCGAAATTCCCTTTTTATTTAAGACACGCGGATTGATTTTGACTATTGTAGATGTACAACTATTGGTTGCATATTTGAGGGGTTTGGCTGATCAAATTATCAGGCTGGAAGGAACTACATGAAAATTCGTATGTTTCGAAGTGTGACCATTGCAAGAAATAAACTGAAGAAACCTCTTGACCGTAAGAAACCTGTGTAGGAAATTATACAAATCTTTGTATTCTCTACGCTTTACACTTTATATATTTACGTAGCCCGATCGCCGCCGCTCTCACCTTTCTTAACGCCAGCTTTAGGCGTCGGACGAAGGTGCCCTTCAAGTTCCTGAAGGAGAGAGCCACCCGCTTTATCTCCTCCGTCTCCCTCATTACCTCCGCCCCGATATCTGCCGTCGTCTGGCAGACCATTTTCGCTGTCAGCTCCTGAGCAGTCGGCAGAGGTATAGGGGACGTGATCTTCCGTCCCTTTTTCTGAGGACAGTCCTCCACGTCCCTCTCTATCTCGCAGTCAGACATCCGACCTCCACCACGAGTTGGTCGTTTTCCTCGCAGCCCCATTGCCGAGGAGACACTCGACGTGTGTCCTTCTCAGACGCGCCAAATCGGGGCGTGTCGTCCCAGAAATACCCCGACTGCCGGCTCTCCGGACAGTAGCTCGAGTCCGAATCGCCACCGACCACGTTGGTTCCACCCTCCGCCAGTACCTCCCACGGTGCACCTCTTTCTTGGCCAAGCCTGCTTCCTCAATGGGGTATGCAATGGCCTCCGCTAGGTAGTTGCAATTGATTTCCTCAAGTATACCCTTTATTCGAGATTTTACATGTTTGTATCTGGCGTGAAGCCCAACCAGATACGACTCTCATGGGCGTGGGACTGGAATACGCCCGATCAGCGCATTCCTGCAAGGTGCAAGTTCATGGAATCAACCTTGGGTGAGGCCCAGACCTTTCTAAATCCCTATCGGCTAAGCTGACTAGCTCGCAAGCTGATACGACATAGCTCACCCGCCGAGGCGTTATCTGCACTGACAGTCTAACCCAATTAGTCGACAACGGAAGAGTAAATCCCTCCATGGACTTTTAACATCAATCTGGTTCCTAACGAAGTGCTTGCTATCTCGACCTGGGCGGGGCCAACTCGGATACATGAGGTCGTCATTCTCCAAAGGCCTCCTGGTTACAGCCCGGCAGCCCTCTTACGATCCCAGAACACCTCTATTCTGACATATATTTACTCTTATTCGGGCTCTACGTACACGTCTCGGGACCACGCGATGGTCTCCGAGATCATAAGCTTTCGCATTAATGACGCGTAACTTTGCGAAATGCGCAGCAGCTTGTTATCGTTATTTGGATACCAAGCGCCCAGGGCGCCTATGACGAAGCCGTCGACATCGACGTGATCGGAATTTGCGAGCGCGTCCGCGAGAGGCCGATACTTTTGAATTTTGTCTAACCTTGCTTTCTCAATGGCTTCGCGTTTGTTTTCGAACGCCACGGTCACGTCTATCACGACGACGGTTCTCGGCGGCTCGTACGTAATGACTAGGTCAGGCCGTTGTTGTTGTTGTTGTTGTTGTTGTTGCTGTTGCTGGTCCGCTCTTCGGCGCCTTCTTTGGACGACGGACCAGCTGTCGTCCTCTCCACCGGGGCTGGGGTTGGCGGGCTCCTCCTGTCCTGTGGCAGCTCTCCGTCGGCGGTGAAGGCCGTAGCACCGGGCTTGCCGTCGTCACCGGATCCTCGATGATGGTGGGCGAGGGGTGTCCCGGACGGTCGCACGAAGGGTGGAGTCCGAGCACTCGGTATTGCTGTTGTTGTTGTTGCTGCTGCGACGGTTGACGGTGACGATGCACCTCCACAGACGTTGGGTGGAGGCGTGCAGGGCATCGTCACCGGCACAAGCCCATAGTTCGACGGCACGATGGCAGGGTAGGAGATGGGCCTGCCACTCGTTGTCGTGGTGCACGTGACCGTTGAGAGGGCAACAGCCACTGGAGAGCGCTGTGGAGTGGTGGTGATGGAGGGTGCCACTCCCTTTACAGCATCTGCAAATGTTGTCGTCGGCGAGGCTAGCCGACGAAGAAATGGCCTCGGGGATGCCGCTGGAGGGGTGCCCGCACGAGTGCGCGCACCCTGTCTCGGCGGTGTCTTCCTCTTTTTATGTTGTCCGTGCGAGCGATGTTGTTGTTTCCGGAGCCGACTGGAAATAGAGCTCTCCGCAGTACTCAATCCCGGAGGGGAAGACTTACCTTTATTCCGCGGGCTGTTGTGCTTCCGAGTGTCTTTCGGTGACACCCTGGCAGCAGTGGGTGGAGTCACGCGCCCTGCGCGCAGAGCAGCAGCCGGCCGCGAGGTCGTCGTCGTCGTCGTCTTCGCCGATGTGGACGGCGATGTCCTCGGGGCGCTCCTTCTCAAATTAGAAGTCGGCGGGGTCGGCGGGCACGAAGATGCGCGTCTACGCGCTGCCGACGCCCGCGTCGTCATCCTCGTGTGATTCGCCGTTGTGGCCGCTGTCAATTGTTTAGCCGGGAATTGTTTAGTCGGGGAGATCCTCGTCGCCGTTGTTGTCGTTGTTGAGGTCGGCGTCGTCCGATCCCTGTTGCTACCCCCCTTGGAGGAGGGTAGCGTGGCGGTGCACCTGCTCGGTGCACTCCCCGCTGGACTTGCACGACCCCTCGTCGTAGATGAAGTTGCGGGGGAACCTCCGCTCGTCCTTTTCAAGGTCGGCGGGGCCGGCGGGGAGGACGTTGCTCTACGTACACGTCTCGGGACCACGCGATGGTCTCCGAGACCATAAGCTTTCACATCAGGGACGCGTATCCTGGCGAAATGCGCAGCAGGAAGCATAAGAAATCGTTATGTGCGTGCCAGGCGCCCAGGACCGTCGACATGAACGACGTGACCGGCTCTAACTAATGCGTCCGCGAGGAATCCACTCGCGAGGAATATGCCTCAGGCGAAGACATGAATTATATAAAGCGGTTAGGACCGGAAGTCTCCGTAGGTGACCCCGTCGGGCCCAGGGGATAAATTCTTCATCTGAGTCGCCGGAGGACCTCGATTCGTTCGAGAGGGGAGACAAGGGCATTATTCGATTCGGTGGACGGTTCCACCGTTTCCTGGGGCTGAGGGAGGGGACCAGCTCCTTCCGTCCGCGCGAAGGTCTCTGTGAAATGCCTTTGGATGATTTCCTTGGGCAATTCACAGAAAGGGGAGTCCTTGTGGAGGATCTCTCCGACCGCGCGCATTCGGTTGGCTCGGTACAGCTTCTGTATCCTCGTGGCCTCCCTCTTGTATTCCTCACGGCTGACCTGAGAACTGTGGCGTTGCTCCGGTCGTGCCGTCCTACTCGCCGATTGCGGCCGACCGCCCGTCGCACCGCTGTTATTTCTCGCGCCGGCGTTTGCGTCGACAACCCTTCGCGCGAGGAAGAGCTGGGCCACCCGTGCGGCCACAGCCTCCACATCATCGATACCGCCACTAATCTGGCGGAGAGCGACGCCCCGGGACAGTCCCCCGGCTTTCACCACGGCTATTATTGTTATTGTTGTCGGACAATGGAGGGTTGCGCGCCCCGTTTTGCCCACGACCTTCAAAGCGCGTTCTCTCGTTGCGCCTTCGACCCCTCTGCGGGGTCGCTAGCGCGGCACTCGGTCCAGATACTCGTCCGGCTCCGCCACGGTGTCCTTGTCCAGTCCTCGGCGGGCCTGTTCTGGTTGAAGTTGCTTCCTGGACCCGATAGTTGTTGTTGTTGTTGTTCCTGTTGTTAGAGTGCGGGAGGGCTACGCGCGCCCCCTCCGCTCCTCTCATCATTCGCGTACGCGTTTCCGTCCGATGCCCCGCACAGGCATCGGCAAGTGCAGCCCCGGGGGCTCCCAGGGCGTGCGGACGGTGGTCGCGCGTTTGCCCTAACGGCACACGTGCCCGCATTACTTACAAACCTAATCTAACCTAAACCTAAACGCGCGTTGCTGCCGGCACTCCCCGCATCGGAGCGTGCGGTGCCTGCGGGGGGCCGTATACGCCGTTGCG